CATGAAAATTAACCAATGTAGGGGCGCCTGGGTGGCTCAGTCGTTAGGCGTCTGCCTTCGGCTCAGGTCATGATCCCAGGGTCCTGGGATCGAGCCCCGCATCGGGCTCCCTGCTCCACGGGAAGCCTGTTTCTCCTTCTCCCACTCCTCCTGCTTGTGTTCCCTCTCTTGCTGTGTCTCTGTCAAATAAATAAATAAAATCTTTAAAAAAAAAAAAAAAGAAAATTAACCAATGTAATATACAATATTAATGGAATGGAGGAAGGTAACCATGTGACCATCTCAACTGATGCAGAAAAATAATTTTATAAAACCCAACACCCTTACTGATGAAGCTTGAAAATATTATGCTAAGTGAAATAAGCCAGTCACAAAAAGACAAATACTGTATGATTCCACTTACATGAGATACTTAGAGTAGCCAAAACCATACAGACAAAAAAGTAGAATGGTGGTTACCAGGGACTGTATATAGAGTTTCAGTTTTACAAGATGAAAGGATTATGGGGATAGAAGGTGGTGATGGTTGTAAACATCATGAATACATTTAATACCATTGAACTGTATGCTTAGAAATGGTTAAAATGGTAAACTTTATGTTATGTATATTTTACTACAATAAAAAAAGTTGGGGATAAAAAACCCACTGAACACCCTTGCATGATAAAAACACTCATAAAAGTAGGAATAGAAGGGAACTTCCTTAGTCTCATAAAGGAGATCTGTGAAAATCCACAGCTGGGGCGCCTGGGTGGCTCAGTCAGTTAAGTGTCTGCCTTCAGCTCAGGTCATGATCCCAGGGCCCTGGGATCGAACCCCATGTCAGGCCCCTGCTCAATGGGGAGCCTGCTTCTCTCTCTCCTTCTGCCCTTTCCCCACTTGTGCTCTCTCTCACTCACTCTCTCTCAAATAAAAATAAATAAAATCTTCAAAAAAAGAAAAAGAAAATCCACAGTTAATATCATACTCAATGGTGAAAGACTGAAAGCTTTCCTCCTAAGATCAGAAACAATATAAGGCTGTCTGGTCTTGCCACTTTTATTCAACATTTTACTGGAAGTTTTAACCATGGCAAGAAAGTAAGTAAAAGTCATCCAAATTGGAAGGGAAGTAGTAAAACTATCTCTATTTGTAGTTGGTGTAATCTAATATATAGAAAATCCTAAAGAACCCACACAGAAACCATCATAGTTAATAAATGAATTCAGCAAATTTGCAGAATATAAGATCAATAAGCAAATGAAATGCAATAAGCAAAATCAGTTGTATTTCTATACACTAGAAGTGAATTATCTGAAAATGAAATTTAGAAAAACAATTTCATTTACATTACCAAAAATAACAAAATGTTTAGGAATAAACTTAACAAAGGGGTATAAGACTTGTACACTGCAAACTACAAAACATTGTTGAAAGAAATTTAAACAGACCTAAGTAAATGAAAAGACATCCTATGTTCATGGATTGTAAAGAAACAATATTGTAAAGAAAGCAAAGTAATCTATAGATTCAATGCAATCTCCAACAAAATTCCAACTATCTTTTTTGCAGAAATGAGCAAGTTGATCCTCAAATTCATATGGAATTGTAAGGGACCATACATAGCCAAAACAATCTTGAAAGGGAAGAACAAAATTGGAGAACACTTCCCGATTTCAAAACTTGTAAAAAGCTACACAACCCAAATAGTGTGGTACTGGCATAAGGATAGACATATAGATTAATGGAATAAAATTGAGAGTCCAGAAATAAACCCACACATCTATTGTCAATTGATTTTCAATAATAGTGCCAAGACCACTCAATGGGGAAAGAATGATCTTTTCAAATAATAGTGCTTGGAAAACTAGGTATCTGAGTGCAAAAGAATGAAGTTGGACCTTTACCTCACACCACATACAAAAATTATCTCAAAATAGGTCAAAGACCTACATGTAAAACCTGGAGCTAGAAAACTTAACAGTAAATCTTTATGACCTTGGATTTGGTAATGATTTCTCAGATATGACGTTAAAGAACAAACAACAAAAGAAAAAAACTGGGCGCTTGGGTGGCTCAGTTGGTTAAGCAACTGCCTTCGGCTCAGGTCATGATCCTGGGGTCCTGGGATCGAGTCCCACATCGGGCTCCCGGCTCAGCGGGGACCCTGCTTCTCCCTCTGACCCTCTCCCCTCTCATGCTGTTTCTCTCTCTCTCTCTCTCAAATAAATAAATAAAATCTTTTTAAAAAAGAGAAAAAATAAACTGAACTTCATCAAAATAAAAAAACACTTCTGTGTATCAAAGGACATTCTGAAGAAGGTAAAAAGATGACCCAAAGAATGAGGAAAAAATATTTGTAAATCATATATTTCTTATAAATCTAATGTCCAGAATATACAAAGAACTCTTAAAACTCAACAATAAGAATATATGGGTGAAGGATAACGGGCAAAGGACTTGAATAGACATTTCTCCAATGAAGACAAGCAGAAACCAACAGGCACACGAGAGGTTCAACATTATTTGTCATTAGGGAAATGCAAATCAAAACCACAATGTGATACCACTGCACATCGGGTGGCTTTTTGCGGGGTGGGGGTATAACAAGCACTGGCAAGGAGGTGGAGAAACTGGAATCCCTCGTGCAGTGCTGGTGGGAGTATAAAATTGTACAACCACTGTGGAAAACAGGTAGTTCCTCACAAAGTTAACCACAGAATGACCCTATGACCCAGCAACCCCACTCCTAGGTATATACCTGAAAGAATTGAAGACACGTTTACAGATAACCTTGCCCAGATATATACATAGCAGATAAAAAAAAAAAAAAAGGGAACAATCCAGATGTCCATCACCTGGGGAATGAATAAACAAACTGTGGTCTATCCATACAATGGAATATTATTCAACCCAGAAAGGAAAGAAGCACTGTCGCTCTGCTACAACGTGGATGACCCTTGAAAACATGACGATTCCTAGTGAAAGAAGCCAGACATAAAAGGACAAGTAGCGTATGATTCCATTTCTACGAAGTGTCAAGAAAGGGCAAATCCACAGAGATAGAAGAAGCAGACTGACGGTGACCAGGGCTGGGAGAAAAGCGTGAACGGGGAGCGACTGTGTGATGGGTACTGAGTTTCCATTTGGGTGACAAGAATGTACTAGAATGAGTGGTGATAGTTGAATGAAGTTAAAGTCACTGAACTGTACACTCACAACGGTTAAAAGGGTGAGTTTTATGGTATGTGACTGTTGCCTCAATATTTTAAAAAAAGAAAGGAAGGAAATACATTTGAATGATAACCTCTGGTGATGCTGTTATTTCACTGCTGTTATTTTCCTGTCTACAAAGCACTGAAATCTCTCTTGTCACTGTGTGAAGCAAGCCTCTCAAAACTGTGTGTGCACACAGATCTCCTGGGGATCTTGTGCAGATGCGGATTCTGACTGAGCGAGGCAGGGTGGGGCCCGAGAGGCTGCATTGCCTGCAAGCCTCCCCAGACCTCCCTTTGAGCAGCCAGGCTCTAAAAGTCAGCAGCAGCCCAAGGGGGTGGACAGATGGAGCAGTTCACCAAATCTGCGAGGCCGACCCCGAAAAGACTCTTGCTTCTGGATGCCCTCCCCCAGGGGCCTTCGTAGTGTAGGACAGACTTACCCTAAAACAAGTATTTATTATCTGAAGTTCAGATTTCCCTGACTGCCCCCTATTTTTATTTGCTAACTCTGAAACCCCAGCCTGGGGTGGAGAAGGGTTGGAGCTGTGGTTGTCCAGGCGACCTGTGCCCAAGGGGCTCAAAGCCACTAAGGGCAGCTGGCTTGGTGGTCCTGTGGACTAAGGGAGAGTCACCAACACGGCTCACTCCACAGCTGGCCTGCGCTGGGGCCAGCCTCGCCCACTGCCCTTGGGTCTGTTCCGCTCACCTGGCCACCTCCTGGCAAAGAGACTCTCAGAGCTGGCGACCTGGTCCAACCGCACACGGAGTAGAAGAATCCCCTCCAGGACATCGCTGCCGGGCAGCCCTCCCAGCTGACCAACCCATGGTCAGGAACTAAGGGCCAGGGGGCAGTGTGCACAGTCGCGACTGCAAGGAATTTGCACCAGGCAGACTGAGATTTGAGTGGAGGCTTGGGCGAGTTATTTACCTTCTCTCTGGGCCTTGACACCTACCTGTAAAGGTAGATAACACCTTCTATTCCCCAGTTCTGATGACGAGATGAAATCCTATCTAAAAAGCGCTCAGGGGCGCCTGGGTGGCTCAGTTGGTTAAGCGACTGCCTTCGGCTCAGGTCATGATCCTGGAGTCCCGGGATCGAGTCCCACATCAGGCTCCCTGCTGATCAGGGAGTCTGCTTCTCCCTCTGAACCTCTTCCCTCTCATGCTCTCTATCTCTCATTCTCTCTCTCTCTCAAATAAATAAATAAAATCTTAAAAAAAAAAGGCGCTCAGAGCCTGGCACCCATAAATGCTCAAGATATTGGGGAAACCATTGTTTCTTCTCTTTCCCTCCCATGATGCCCAGCACGGTGCTGAGCACAGCAGGCATCGCTTCTCGGCCTTTTGGCTAAGATCAAGTGTGAGCACAGCAGGCATCAACACGTGTTTGTGGGGTTGAACAGCAGGAACATTCTGGAACAGTGAAGAGTCATATGCTCTGACCGAGACAGGGGACCTACGTACACCTTCCAGCTCTGACCCTCATTCTTTGTGACTTGAGGTTAAGTCCATTTCTTTCTCTATGCCCCGGTATCTTTGTCTGCAAGATGAGCAGTGGGGTGAGCAACCATCTGCATAGTCTCTCACAGTGTGTCAAGCTGCTAAGCTACCCATTCCACAGATGAGGAAGCCCGAGGCTACTGACTTGTAGTAAAGGCATGACAGCACCTAGGCCTTCTTACACCCGGTGCAGTTCTCCAGGAGAAGCCTGGCCTGTGATGCTCCTCCTCCTCCTCAACTGCCCATTAGCCCCAGTTCTGAGCTGGAAGCGGAGGGGGATTGTGGATGGGGTCTGTGCCTCACCTGGCTGGCCTCAGTGGGGCGGAGTCCATGGGGACAGGGCAGCTCGGAGATCCCAGTGTTCTCCCCAAGGCTGTGGTGAATCCTCTTGCCTTTTGTCTCTGGTTGGGCCGGTTCTGGACTATTCCATGCTATTCCGTTGTCACTGGCAGGACAGGGCTCGGTGAAGCTGGACCCAGTGTGTCCCAGCCCCTCCCAGTCCCTGTTATCTTTCTGCAGGAGCCAGAGCTTATGTGTTCATCTCTTGGGATGTTGAGTCTACCCAGCCTTTTAGGGATCAGGGCTGCCGGCCCCAGTAGAGAGGTGCTGTTGTCTGTGCTGCTTCCAGGCCCCAGGCTGGCGGTGACCCTCCCCTCCCTTGGCCAGATATCCCAAGCCTCCTCCTTTTCTCTCTTGGCTTCTGCCTTGTTCTTTCTGTGATTGGCCCAAGAGGGGGGTGAGGGCTGGCAGGTACCCTACATAGAGGCTGGAGGCAGCATCCAGGGCTGGTTGGCCCACCCGAGGGCCCCCTGCCCACTGCCCCCAGCCAAGCTGGGTCCTCTTCTTCCTGCCCAGCTGAGGCAGGGCCTGGAAGGGCACAGTGGCAGGTCCTCTGTGATGCTCCTGTTGCCATGGTGATCCCAGATGAGAAGGCCGTCGCATTCTGTCCCGGGAACCCCCACCCATCTTCCCAGCTCTGTTTTGCCTGTCTCTAAGAGATGGCTCTCTGCTGGTGGCCTCAAGAGCATGGGTTCTGCTGCAGTCAATGTGTCTTCTGTGCACCCCCTATCCCTTGGACCTCCCTTTAACCCTAACAGAAACCACTACCCTAACAGGTAAGCCTCCACCCCTCAGAAACTGACCTGCACTGGGGAGGTGTTGGTGAGTCATGGAAAAGCCACAGGATTCAAAATGAGAAGACCCAGATTTCAGTCCCAGCCTGGCCTTTTAGAGCTGTGTGACCTTGGACAAGAGAGGCCTTGAGCTTCAGCGTCCTCCTCTGGAAAATGTAGATGATGAAACCTTACTGAACTGTCCCTCAGGAAAACCTATGTGACTTTGCGTGGGCTTTCCCTTCTATGTAATACCCTTCCATCCTCCTCAGCTCAGGCAAACTCCTACCCATGCCTCAAGACCCAGCTGAAATGCTCCCTTCTCTGTAAACGCTTCTCTGAGCTCTGTGGCCTTGACACAGATATTAGGACTTGCCATTTTGTGTTAAAGTTACATGTTTCCTTTATTTTTATTTAACTAGGAATTTCTGGACGCAGGAATCAGATTAGGCTTAGTTCTGGCATCAGAAATGGTTTGTTGGGTGACTGGGTTGGACCCCATCCTTGCAGGGTTCAATCCTGGGGCTTTTTGTCCAAGCATGGCTTCGGCTGGTCAGTGCCTGCTGCAGCCTGCCTGAGACGCACCTGGCTGGCTGGGGACATTTTCATGGCCGAGACCCAGTGGAAGAGACCCTGGCTTATGCCTGGGGTCTACTTGTCTTAGCACTGGGGTGCGGCCAGGAGCACCTTCTTATGAAGTGTCTCTGTGGATGCCCTGGGGCACCTGGGAAGGGAAAGGGGCTGGTACAGTGCGGTCAGTGGGTCCTGGTGGGACTTTTGGGACACTGACGAGAAACCTGCGGTTCAGGGAAAAGAGCAGGAGGACTTCAGCTGCCACCGCGTCTTACAACTCCCTCTTATAGCTCTACAGCTGCTGGTCAGGGTCAAGGAGATGAGGGAAAGACATCCAGTGTCAGCTCCAGGGTCCCTATGGACTCCGACCGGCTAACAAGGCTTCCAGGGCCAGAGCCAGCTAGGCAAGGGCGCCCTCCAGTGGTCACCATGGGGGAGGCAGGAACCTGATGGCACAGAAAGAGAGGCGTTTCGTCCATTCCTTCAACTGACATGGAGTGGGCATCCCCGTGCCAGACGTGGTGCCAGGCACACGTTTCAATTTTAATTAAAAACATATTAATCATCTGCTAAGTGGAAAGCTCTCTCTTGAGTGTTGATATGTTTTGGTGGGGGAAAAGGAAATACAGGGTAGGGCATTATCCCTTACAGCAGTGATTCTCCACCCATGCTGTCCTTTGGACTTGCCTGGGGAACTTGAGAAAATGGCCACGTCTGGGACCTGCCAGCCCAACCGAATCTGGAGGGGTCGGGCAGAGGTGCCAGGGCCAGGCAGCCAGGCATGAGAACCACCGGTTTGGAGAACTGACGAAATTGTTACCCATCATTCTCATTGCTGACGTAGGTGTTATTGTCCCATTTTCCGGATGAGGAGACCGAGGCTCAAGTTAAGGACAGCGATGGGAAAGGTGTTTCCCACAGGCAGCAGCGGGGTAGCAAATCCTCCTAAAAGGCCGTTGCTGATCTCTGAAGACTCCCTCATAACTGCGATGCCATTATTTTAGCTGTGATTAGAAAAGTATCCAAAGTTGTTGTGAAATAATCCTTTGCCCCAGGCAGACAATTATAAAGGCAAAAGTGGTGTGCACAAAAGTCACCTGCAGGGGCGCCTGGGTGGCTCAGTCGGTTGGGAGTCGGCCTTTGGCTCCGATCATGATCCCTGGTAGGGAGCCCCCCCCATCAGGCTCCCTGCTCAGCTTGGGGGGGGCAGTTACTTCTCTCTCTTCCTCTGTCTGCTGCTCCCCCTGCTGTGCTCTCTCTCCTTCTCTGTTAAATAAATAGGTGAAAAATCTTAAAAAAAAAAAAGTCACCTGCAATCTCAGCATTGTTAACACTTAGGAGTATGTCAGGGAGAGGGAAAAAGCGAGGTGACGGAGGAAGAGTGGGAGAGAGGAGGGAGGGGGAGGGGAGGGAAGGAGTGGATTTATTTTAAGGCTTGAGGTCATATTGTAAATCAGGGGTTCAGAAAGTCCGATCTGAAGACCACTGGCATTATAATCCTCCTCCCCGCCCCCCGCCGTGCTCATTAGAGATGTAGCGCGGGCGCGTGCGCGCGCGCGCGCGCGCACACACACACACACACACACACACCCCGCCGTGGCAGAATCAGACTCTGGAGAAAGATCCCGAGAAGGTGCACGTTTCCTATACATTCCAGACCATTCTCACGGCCACTCACTGAAGACCAAGAGCCACTGCGGCTTCAAACTTTCACAAGAGGAGCCCGTTCTGGACACCCATCACTTCCAGTGGCTTAGGAGGGCCCTCGTGTATAGATTGATGGATTAAAATGTTTGGAACCAGGTGCTGAGCTATTAACCGGCTGCCCTTGGGGACCTGGGTACATACTCCCATTTTGCATAAACACCAGGGCTGCTGTGTCATCCCGCACCCGGCCCAGCCCCCACACGGCAGCCTCCTACCCCCGCACCCCACCCCCTCTTTCCATAGCTGTGAACCAACCTACCAACTGGATTCTACCAGCCAATCACAGCCTGAATGACCTATGATGTCACCACCAGCCAATCAGGGCTCCTCACCAGCAGGGGCGGCCCGCTGTCGCCCTGAGAAAGGTGATGAGGTCTAAAGCAGTACCATCCTTTTTGGATAGGGATACTGAGGCCTAGGAAGGGGCAGAGGACCACTAGGGTCACCACACACACAGGTGGCAGAGCCAGGACCAGAGCCAGGGCTTCTGACTGTGGTCCAGTGTTCTTTCCAGTGCCCTCAGAACTGCCAAAGCCCCATTGGCTGACCCGCGGCTCCCGCTGTGTAGCTCCAGACAGGGCCTGGCCCCATTCCCCACAGCTCTCCTCGCAAGACCTCAGTGGTCAGAAACAGATCCTTCCAGGGGCGCCTGGGTGGCTCAGTCGTTAAGCGTCTGCCTTCAGCTCAGGTCATGATCCCAGGTCCTGGGATCGAGCCCCACATCGAGCCCCACATCGAGCCCCACATCGGGCTCCCCGCTCAGCGGGAAGCCTGCTTCTCCCTCTCCCACTCCCCCTGCTTGTGTTCCCTCTCTCGCTGTCTCTCTTTCTCTCTCTCTCTCTCTGTCAAATAAATAAAATATTTTAAAAAACGGCATCATACAATATATGGCCTTTAAAAAAAAGAGAAGAAAAGAAAAAGGAAACAGGTCCTTCGATCTCCGTATTTGAGGGCCCAGAGAAAATGGCAGGATTGGGCCCATGGTGGAGGGGAGCTGCCCCAAATTCTAGCCCTCAGCTCAGCACCTTCCCCCCCAGCACCGGCAGGAATTAGAGGGGCCCTGGCCAGGCGGCGCCGGCCGCTGCTTAGGTGCAGATTATGAGAGGGGCCCAAACAAGGCTCCTTTGTGGAAGCCCTGGCTGAGGGAGTCAAGTGACCGCTTAACACACGCATGTGCAGGGCCAGCCCCTAAGAGCGGGCACTGGCCACAGAACCCCCAAGAGTCCCACGGGTCCAGTGGCCAGAACTATTGTGGGACTGCCTGAGAAGACTGGAGCCCTTCTTGTGAGTAGTGGTCGGCGGAAGCAGGCTGGGCCGGGGCTTTGAGGGCCTACGGGGTGGACGGTGGCCCCTGCATTGGTGCGTGGGATGTCCACCCACGGGCAGCATGTGTGCGCGTGGCGGGGGGGCACCTGTGCAAAGTCTCCGAGGTGGGAATGAGCTTGGTGTGCACGGGGCACAAAGGCACAGCTATGGAGCCCCATCTGAGCAAGCAGGGAGAGGGCGGGTGTCCGTCATTGCTTCGAGAAGCTCTGATGGAGCACCTCCTACGAGAGCGCAGCAGAAGCTTCCATGCGCGGGAGGGAATGGTCAGTAAACCAGCAGACGTCCTGCAAAATAGCATTTCAAGCAGAACAAGATACATGCTGTGGACAGAAATCGACAAGATGAGGGGTCAGAGAGTACCAGTGGCACTGGGACGTTATCTGCAGGGACCGTAGTTGGGAACACCCTTTCTGGGCAGACAGCCTGACGTGGGAATGAGCCATACATTAGATGAGAAAGAGCATCCTCCAGGCAGAAGGATTAGCAAGTGGAAAGGCCCTGGGGTCACTGTTCAGTAAACATTATTTGAGCATCTCTACCAGCCAGCCTCTGTTCTGGGCATTGGAGACAGGGCAGTGGACAAGACTGACCAGGCCCCTTACCAGTCTTGCTCCAAGGTGGTCGTGGGTGCTTAGGGAGCTAATGAAGAAGATAGGCTCAGAATGCTGCCTGGCTCAGGGGACCATGCCCAGCGTGTGGACTTTGCTATTGCTGTTGTCGTTGCCTTCGTCATACAACTTAAGGGCGCCGACCTGTCTGTCCTCCCTGTCAAGGCTGTGGGCAGCTTGGGGCTCTCTTCCCTGGCTTCCCATGTCCCACAGGCAGGAAGAGCCGAAAGGGCCCTTGAGGCCCTCATCCCCCTCCCAGTGTCCAGACAGGAAAGCTGAGGCCCAGAGCAGGGAAGGGTCCCGGCTAAGATCACTCATGGGGCCCAGACAAGCCCCGAACAAGCCCCCCATAAGTGTCTCTCCCTGTCTACTAGGACCCAAGCCCACTTGCTGCAGTCCAGTGCCTGGCCATGACCGTCACCTACTCAAGCCAAGTGGCGAATGCCCGCTTAGGCTCCTTCTCTCGCCTGCTGCTGTGCTGGCGAGGCAGCATCTACAAGCTGCTCTATGGCGAGTTCCTCATCTTCCTGCTCAGCT